TTATTCTAAAGATATGCATTCGCGCGTATGCTGATTATACTCCTTTACATGGCTCGAAAAATCTATTTTTACTCGTATATATATATATATAAGAAAAATCTGAATTTCAAACTATATTATAAGGAGATTGGCGAGTTCGCGAGAGCATTTATTACTTTCTTGTGTGCCGATTGAGGCTCGATTGAATTCGTGGTTATCGATTAAAGTTTAATCGATACTCAGAGCGGCGCGATTTAATATCGCTACAATTTTACTACCCTTTTATTAAATTGATGGTTTATTATGGAATTATTTGTTTATCGGTTCTATATATATATATATATATATATATAACAAGAACTTTGTGATCCACATTAACGTGTACGATTGTTTGCCTTTAATCGTGATTGCTTACGACATCGCGTAAAATTTGTTTAACGGAGGAATTGCTGGCTGAAAGTATAAAATAAGATCGTAAAACGGATGTCGCATTATAAACGTATATATATCCATGCAGATATATATACTAATTCCTTTTAAGTTTCTTTAACGAAAGTCGGAGGATTGCGACGACGATGTGTTTATACGATAACGGTGTGTTTAAAACGGCGTAACATCATAAAAATGCGCCACGGTGGTAAGTACCGCGACAAGAGTAAGTACGATACGGTAATGAGTTTAGTTCGCAGCGACTTTTATAATACGCGAGCTTTTCTGACTTTTAATACGCGACGCGATTGGGCGCCTAACAAAACTCATAATAAGCTGCAATAATAGCCGCACCGCTTTATTATTCGCCACGTATAAATGCAACTTAAAGCGGTCGTATTTTGCAGCAAGAATATTTATGTATATTCAAATTCTATTTCTAAATAACAATAATTTTTTTTATAATTTGTAAAAGCTCTTTAAAAAATTAATCAACAATTAAAAGGCAATAAGAGCTAATTAAATTCTATCAATTAGTAATTTATTTGTGAAAGAAAGTATAACATATTAAATAACAGACAAAAATTAAAATAAATTCGTTCGTGTAATAATTTTTTTTATTTGAAAAACGTTAAGAGAAATGAAAGTTTCGGGCGAAATTAAATTCGACGGAAGCTTTCAATTTTTAATTACGCATAATTCTGGAAATGGTTATAACAAGTGTCTCGATATTTTCCTCGTCGAAAAAGAATTTATAGTCGCGCAGTATGCATCGTATTTCATACATTTACGACCGCGAGGCGCGCTTTAAAGCGAGGAAGCGGATAGGGAAAAGCTCTCCGAGAGATACCGCCAGCAGGATATATATTTGTATCCTGCGGGGCGACGCGGGGAATTATCCCGCGGGAAACAATGGAAACAGTAGCGGAATTAATTATAGTGTAGAACTTAATGAACGCTTATTATCGTTCCCTTTTTGAGGGAGGGAAGGAAAATGGCTTGGTTATCGCGCAGTGGTATTGTCGGAATTGTCGCGACAGGAGGGAAGTTGCAAACGCACGAGACGGCGTTCCTGAATATCAATCCGCGATAAACACAATTTTCTTGCAAATCAAATTCATCGAGTAATGTGCTTTTGGATTTGAACAAAAACTCGGCTAGATCGCAGATGATTTTTTTTACATTTCTCTGCGCGTAGAAAGCTTGATGGATTTTAATAATGTATAACTCTGCGTATAAATAAGTTATATGTGTGTAATAAGTTTATGTAATATTTATGTAATACGAAAGATGTGCGGCAGGAAAATCAACAAATAAGATAAAAATTCGTGATGCGAAAAATTTATAGAAGCGATACACAGAAAAAAAGGAATCCTTGATTCAAGTATATTTTTATTCTTGAACGCTATTTGATTGATTTAAGCATAGAATGCTCTTTGTAATCACAAATTTTCATTTGCCTTAATAATAAATAAGTTTGTGTAAAGTATATTTTATCCTTAAGATATATTCTTGTTTTAAAAATCGCATATGGTAAAAACAAACTTAGTCACATTTGAACTAAAAATTATTATATATACTTGAACGTACCGCTTATATCCGATGCTCACTTGTCACTTGTCCTTGCAATATTTATAAGTAAATTTCAGCTTCAACCAAGAATATTTTGCACTTTATTTCAAAAATAAATTATCCTTTATCCAAAATTATTTATATTTGCCGCTATTATAAGAATAAAATATACTTGAATCAAGGCATATTTGCATTCTTTCAAGGATACTGTTTTTTCTGTGTATAAGTTATGCGTTCAGAAATATATACCAGGTGTTCCTTTTTTTCGTATCAATATCTGAAATGCATATATTTGTGCTACTTTAATTGCGCACATTAATTAGAAGCTTCCCTCGGGTCATCCAACGCAACAGACGCGTTTCCTGAACGCGCAGGATAACTTCGATTTCGCGACGGTGGGTGCGGGGAAGCCTCTTGTTCATTTCCTGGTTATTGTTTAATGAACGTGTAGCCCGGGAAATTAATGCGATTCCAGCGCATTGTGCTCGAGAAATTAACGCGATTGTAGATAATACGCGTCTCGCTATAACGCGCGTGTAGGATTATCTGTTTGTTTCTTTTCGTACTTCCGGCAGTTATGTTTACTCATATAATCTGCATCTGATAAATTATTTTATGCTTCAGTAAAGCTTGTCTCGCAAAATACGCAAATCCATGTCACTCGCGCATTAAGAACAGCGCGAAAACAAACATTTGCAGTTGTTGTAACATTGCAGGTAAATGCAGATTAAGCTCCGTCAGCATTCTGCGTCACGCAAAAATGCGAAATTTTGATGTGCGCAACGCGCATATATATATATGTATAACATTTTTATATAAACATTTTGAGAGTTAACAATTATTTTAATTTTGCTTTAAATCTCTTTTTAAATATGTGTTTATTCTTATTTATGAGAATTTAACACGCAAATCTCAAATTAATTTTTTTTTAGATAGACTTTAATCAAACTTGAAAGACAATATAATACAATTTTGTCACGCATCTATAGTTTCGAGAATTAAACCGCGGAAAAGCTTTTATAATATTTTACATTTGTATTTATTAAAAAAACTCATAAAAGAGGAAATGCGTTGTTGTCGAAATATTTAATTAAACGCGTTGCATCAGGACACTAACATTGCACTTCAGGTCCTGACTATGCAAATGCAAGTCTCCGGATTATTAATGTAGATCTCTAAACGAGCAAATAGCTACATCTAATTACAACTACCTATTCTAGTTAACTATCAACATCAACGATCGCGGCTTTCGACAAGATGTATACGTAATGTACAGACGTATCTTTGATTGGGTATCTATGTAGACAACTGGAACATAGACAGCCGTCTCTGAACTAGATAGACAGATGGTTCATCTAGAATAACTGTTGATCAGGAATGGGTATCCGTTAATATCGTGTAGTGTTCGATGATACGCGTTGTTGCTGTTTGTATAATGATACTGTACGCTGCAAGACGTCTGTAGAATTGAAATGAAGAGATCATTGAAAACAAGGATTCTCACAAGTTTTACCCTCGCATTTGCTTTCAATAGTTTTGCAAATTCTTTCTCTTTTCAAGCATTATATCTGCATATTAAATTAACACTTGAAATTAATAGTGTAAAATCTTCAAAAAGTCAGAAGACATAAAAAAGCACTATTTAAAAAAAAAGTTCAGATTTTATATACAAATTGCGAAATTTATATTAAAGACGTACGAGAAAAATTGGTGATGTAAACATTTACCCCAATAAAAATATAAAAGAAATAATAAATCTAAAATAATTGCGCGTGTGAGTTATATTAATGTGCAAGTTTCGAGACACTCTAATTCGAATTATTGGGGGAAAATAATCCCTAACTTACATCAAATATACAAAGCCCGCTGAATGGTCGGATCCGGTTTGTCGTCCCTTCTCCTGTTTACAATCGCCGTTCGCGGCAGATAATTCGCCCTGGTCTGATAATTTACCAGCTTCCTTACATCCCCAGACGACAAGTGTACCTTGCTAATTAGTCAGCAGTAAATTAGCGCAACGCCATTAGAGCGACGTGCGAGGGATCTATCCCGGAAGTACACGCTTTCGTGGTCTCCTTTCGTCATAATTAGCCGTAACAGTCGGCGACGGTGAGCCACAGGTAGATAGATAAGTCTCTCGAGAATGGGAGACGTGGAGTGTCTACCTTTGTGCCGTTGCTTCGACCGAACGAGGCCCGTCCGCCTTCGTGATTGACGGCGACATCCACGACGCGACCCTCGGGAGACGAGCCACTCGAATTACCCTCGCTGTCAACTGGCTCATTGGCGGAGAAGTAATGAGTAATTGGCAGGCGTCATCATCCTGCCAGTTCCGATACGTCCCGCATTCCGATCCTTTTCAGCATCGGTTTCGATGTTACAGTCGTACGACAAGCTTGTCGAACCGCTAATTGACATTTGACAAAAGCTTTTTCTCCTAAATCCCATCAATACTTCAACGTAAACGGGGAATATTTGTCCTCGGTATTTATAATTAATTTGAGTTAATGATTTTGATATAGTGATAAATATTTAGAACTCTGTATTAAAAATTATATATATATATATATTTTTCACTTGATACAATCAGTCTTTAATCCATTTTTTTACATATATTAATTAAATGTTTAAATTTTTTACGACACATCTAAAAATTGTGCGCCATTGATTTTACGGTTATTATTATAATTTCGTATTTCGATTTTTAGACATAATTAAATATTGAATAGTAAAAACTTGTAAATATTTAGAACTCTATATTAAAAATTATATATATATTTTTCACTTGATACAATCAGTCTTTAATCCATTTTTTACATATATTAATTAAATGTTCTAATTTTTACGATACATCTAAAAATTGTGTGCCATTGATTTTACGGTTATTATAATTTCGTATTTCGATTTTTAGACATAATTAAATATTGAATAGTAAAAACTTGACGATGTTAATGCAGCGCGCGCATTTGACTTTTTTCATTATACTTTTCTAATTCTATTTTCACTTGATACATGCGTAGGCAAGCCAAGACCGCAGGTCTCTTGGTATCTGGAGTCGCAGAACATTCCTGCGTCCACTGAAATTCGAGAGACACATGGTCCGAATGGGGAGATCAACGTTGTAACCATCAGCAACGTGACTGTGAAGGTTCTCACAAGGAGGCATCATCACGCCAAGCTGTCCTGCCGAGCGAATAACACTCAATTAGCGCCGCCACCCACCACTACCATCGTCATAGAGCTTAACAGTAAGTACGCTCATTCCAATTAACGCTAATTGCGCGCGACGACGACATGGCATATATCGAGTTTTTTTTTTTTTTTTTTTTTTTGGAGAAGAGCGAGCCTACTCAGGCGTCTCCTCTCCGTTTTGCAAGAACGAGAAAACGTAAGCAAAAGCGCGAATGAGAAAAGAAGATTTAATTGTCACGATGACGACAATAACGAAATTATCACGAATATTAATCCTTCTATGCGGTGCGGCTTCTGTGACTATTCGAATCCACGAAAATGTCGAAATTGTCGTTGCAGTTTCATTGAAGTTTCATTCCGATGCGGTTTATATAGTACAAAGGGGAATTGCGGTTCTCGCGTGTCAGAGAGGCTCTTTATTCGCCCGTAAAATAACGACTGCTTGAATTACTCGCTCGCACGTTCAGCTATTACGCAAGTACGGAAAAAAAAAATGTGAATATTTTCCCGGGAATGTTTCAAATTTCCCGAATACCCGCGGAACAAGATAGCCGTGTTATGAATATGCAAAAAGCCCGTCAATATCGGCGATATACTTTCGATCGATGCCTGCTTCTCTTCCTTCTCCACCTCCTTTCCTGCTTTCCTCCTCGTTCCGTATATTGGTATCAATATTTTTTTTTTTTTCGCGACAAAAAGAATATAGCGAAATATTTAACCGGCTCGAGATCCGATTTGTCTGAACCGGATCTCTCTCTTTTTTTTTCCAACCCAACCGTAAATGAAAGCGAACTTTTGGACGAGACGAAATTGAAACATTTTTCACCGATTACAATGGGGGAGGGAAGGAGGAGAGAGAGGAAAAGTTCGAGGAGGGGATTCGTCGAAAAGCAATCAACCCCACGATGTCATTAATAACGCCACTTCCGGAATCGCTTCGAAATGCGACGGACGCATGGCGCAGGCAACATGCCGCGAACGCGGCAACGTTCGATTAATCTCCATGAAAAACAGAGGTAGAAAGGAAATATATACGTAGTGCACCTCTTTCCGTTCGTTCCTCTCTAATCCGGAAACAACGGTGGAGACTCGGCGAAAATTGCGATTTCCCTTCGGTCGCAAAGTGAATCCGAGACGAATAATTCGTTTGCAATTATTTCGAAGAGTATACGGAAATTATAATGCAAGTTCGTTGCTCGCAAACTCATAACACATCGTCATATATCGTAATTACAAGTATAAGCTGCTACAAATTGGTTTCAGCATGTAAATTTACTATTTCAAGCTTTTATGTGCTTTTACGCATTTACGTATCGAGCTCTTTGCATTAAGGATATATATTGTATTAGCAATATTAATTACTTGATGTTTTTATGGACAAATCGATTGTTTACACGCATTTCTTTATATTTTATTCTAATAATAAATATTACTAAGGTAGCTTTTGTAACACTGAAAATGAAGAAACTTGTTAAGGAAAGTAATGATCCAGCAAAGTTGGAAAAATTGGAGTATTTGCAACGAACTCGTATGCGAGTATCTGATAACTCATGTCTGGCTTATCAGATTTCGCTGGAATCTATCGCGTATCGCAAAAAATGGATTTCGAAATATTGAGCGATGCGCGCGCGAAACAAAAAATCCTTCATTTTTTTCCATCGACTAATTGACCATCCACGGTTCGTCAAAGAACAACAGGCGACCATTTTAATTGATCGGCGCGAAGTAATTCCTGTTGGGTTTGACGACTGGGAATGGATGCGGCTCAAACGCAAACAGATTGCAGTTATTCATATGTGATATCATACTCCGTCCCCAAAAATTGAAAACCGCCAGGCTAGTTGAATTATTTATCGCTTGCTGTGTGTGCATGCATGTCCGGAAAATAATTTCGAAATATGATCTTTAAAACCGTACTTTTTTTTTTAACGATCTTCGCTGTATCAAAGTTTCGAGACTGAAACTTGGTTACAAAATCATTTAACATTCTGATGAATAAAATTAAATTTCAATCTCACAAATTCACAAATTAACTTAATTTACGTAATGAGAGATGATTTGCTACAAGTAACGTAATAATGGATCATAATTGTGACGTAATAACATTGTAATTTATGGGGCGATATAATTGCCGAAGAATAATTCATTACTCCCTCTAAATATATTTCGCGATTGGAACAGCTGCTCTACATTTTGTAGACATTTTTAAATCTTGTCGAACATCTCTTTTCTTCCTTCCGTGTCGCCTTGATGGCAGTCGCCGGGATGGAAAATTAATATTCATAATTGTATAAGCGGCGTGGCGGTTCATCGGCACGCCCGAGATTCATCTGACAAGAAACTTGTGCGCCAGACAAACAAGTTTAAATTAAATCGCCGGAAGCTGCCTCGAGCCCGAAGATGCAAAAGCAGTCCACTTGCCATAGATTACCGTAGAGGCTACTTTCGCGTGATGTTAAAAAGCTTGAGAGCGCAAACAGGAACGTATCGATCGTGAAATATTTAGAACACGACGTTCGATTATCTTAATTGAAAAGCGAGATACTTTCACAGCTTCTACAGTTAGAAAATTTTCTTGCCAGACATTTTCACTCTCCTTTTATTTGCTTTTTTTTATTTCATTCAAAGAGACATTAATGTGCATTATTAATATTTAATGTCTATGTTCTAATATTAAAATTTTTATTTTAATAAGATTAACGTCAAATATTTGTAAGCTATTATTTTAGTTAAAAGAATTCTATATTTAGATAAAAACAAATTCTCTGAAAGAAAAAATATAATACGGACCACGTTCTTCAATCGATTCTAATTTAATTACACAATGTAGAACGACTGAAAATGATAATAGACTCAACAGACTTAAAGAAGAAATGAAAAAGCAAATTTTTCTCACGCAATTACGATCAAATATCTTAAAACTCACAATAGCGATTTTAATCAAATATCGCAGAAGCGCAATAAATCTCAGCGAAAAATACACACGTCATATATTTGTAAGCTATTATTTCAATTAAAAGAATTCTATATTTAAATAAAAACAAATTCTCTGAAAGAAAAAATATACGGACCACGTTCTTCAATCGATTCTAATTTAATCACACAATGTAGAACGACTGAAAATGATAATAGACTCAACAAACTTGAAAAAAAAAATGAAAAAGCAAATTTTTCTCACGCAATTACGATCAAATATCTTAGAACTCGCAATAGCGATTTTAATCAAATATCGCAGAAGCGCAATAAATCTCAGCGAAAAATACACACGTCATATATTTGTAAGCTATTATTTCAATTAAAAGAATTCTATATTTAAATAAAAACAAATTCTCCGAAAGAAAAAATATAATACGGACCACGTTCTTCAATCGATTCTAATTTAATCACACAATGTAGAACGACTGAAAATGATAATAGACTCAACAAACTTGAAAAAAAAAAATGAAAAAGCAAATTTTTCTCACGCAATTACGATCAAATATCTTAGAACTCGCAATAGCGATTTTAATCAAATATCGCAGAAGCGCAATAAATCTCAACGAAAAATACACACAACGTTATCAACGTTTTCGACGTTGGAAAATATCAGTCGCAACAAGGTCGGCAATTATAATCGAACGAATAGATATCGACGTCACGCTTCGAAAACGGAAATCTCGACTGACGTAGTACCTCGGTTCAATATTGAAGCACGATTGCTTCGTTTTTTTTTCTCCCTCGGTCGAGTGTCGTACATTGCATCGAGATTCATTCCGCAGCTTGTCGCTTTTCGATTCCTCGTTTAATTGGAGAAGCGCGCGAGAATTCGCTGTCTGCATAATCGCGTCGAAACCCCGGCGATATTCCGTCGCAATCGTGCGATCGCGCGAAAGTCTAACGAGTCATTGAAGGGCTCCCCCAGGAGTCGATCGACTTGCGAAAACGATTTCCCGCGGTCGACAACCAGGTCGACGGGTATATACTCCGATGTCGAGGAATGGATTACGTCGAGCACTCGGAACCGCGTGCGATGTGTCCCATTAATTTTTCATGCCGTCGCCGAGAGGGTAAAACCTCTCGACCCTGTGCACGAATGCTTCGTCGTCGTCGTCGTTAATCGTTATTCGATAGCTCCGCGTAATGGAGATGACGAAATTGGAGCAGAATGCGATACGTATGGCTCTCATAAAGTATGTACGTAAATAGGATATGGGGAAAATACAAAGACACGCGACCACTCGAGAGACAAATCGGATTCGTATAACGAGGGAGAATTTATTTGTAGAAATGAAAATCGTACGAGATATGAGAAGTATTGTCATTCTGTTATCTAGCGATTTTTCGATGAGTATAATTTTTCTGTGACGATAATTATGAATTATATTTGTATATATGATTGCTAAATTATAATTTTCTCGCTTGCGGTTATTTAATGTCAGGTTAACACCATCTCACATATTTATGAGACATTATCGATTACGGATTCGATTTATGCAATTTCGCGTTACTTTCGAGCAAGAGATGAGGACGATGTGCGCGGTATAAAAAAGCGAGGAATATTGAGTTCTTAGCAGAAGTCGCCGCACCGAAGGAAAATATTGTATATTTTTCCATATAATATCTTGAAGTGGCATACCGCTATGAATTTTTATTATTTTTAGCAATGCGTTCTCTTCTACTCTGTCGTCGCTCACCGTTTATCTTATGATATATTTCCTTGCAGAATCAGCAGAAATGTCGTAGTACCGTCGCTGATTCTCTCAACTATCATGAAATCGATCAGATCGATAATATATGAAAACATAAATATTATACATGAAACGCGCGTGACAAAATTAAAACCCATTGAACAAGAATTGAAAGATTTATTATAGTTCACAATTAATTGTTGATCGCCAGTGTTAAAATTTTCACGTACACGCGTGTGTACTTATTTTCAATAAATGAATAGCCAGTTTTTGGTCGAATTAAATTGCATCTTATTATTTATTATAGTACCATTTTGTGCGAATATATATTTAATAATTTAATACATTAATATTTTGCGGTCGCAGTAAATACTGAACACTAATGAATT